TCAGCGTGGAGTGCGTGGCCATGATAAATTTGAGAAGCTGGGGACGTATCTTGGGGATACCTACGGTCTGAAGCCCGTGCAATTACCTACTTTGGACATGGGTGCTATGGGCGTTGGAGGATCTTCCAAGTTTATCTCCAGCTGAACGCTGCCACTTGACGCGGCAAGGAACTGCGGTGCTCTTGCAGTGCATTTGATATGCCTGTGATGCGCCCGTACTACTCCCAGTGGGTATGCTCAGAAAGAGTGGCATGGTTCTTGGTTTACCAGGTGGCGTTGCCACATGGGAGGCGCTCGGCGGGTTTTCCCGCCGGAGATCGCTACCGCGCTTGGGTCGCCGCGGAGGACCTCGCGGCTCTACCGGGCCAGCTACCGACGCGCAAACGACCATTGGACTACATTTTGAAGGTGGAGAAGGAGAGGGACCTGCAGATGATGCAAGGTCTGATGAGACGTTCGGAGGTGAGGAGGGACGAACCATCTGAACTCGAGAGGGGCAGGAGGTTTGCCTACCGCCGATGTGATCTACTACTTGGCATGCCGTGCCTAGCACCCTGCTCAGAACTCGAGTTTCAGCGCGACCTTCAACGACCCCGCGTCGGAATTGATGGCCGTGCACAATCAGCGCCCGAGACGGCCTACTTCCCGTGTTTGGCTGAAGTTGTTGACGCAGGTGCGCGTTCGAGTGCGAAGTCGCGATGGGCTACCTGGGGAACGGAGACGGAGCTGGGGGCTGCGTTGAATTCTACGCATACTTCCAGCTGTGCACGGACACCGAACTCAATGATCCCTCCGATCATCGCCCGGTGTCAGAGTTTGCCGCGACGCCATTCAGCGACCTGCCTCGCTGGGCGCCTGCAGCGTTGGCCATCGCCCCCAACGTGAACTGCGGCGACCTTCCGAGGGTCGGTAGTTAGAGACCTGTGGCGTCGCCCGCGGGAAAATTAGCATATGATGGTCGACAGTGTGGGGTGGGGGGGCCGTTGAAAGATGGCGAGATGGCCGTCGAGGACATCGCGGGCCAGGCCAGGTTCTCGGCGAAGCAGGCGGAGGAGAGGAAATGGCACGCGGGCTGGTGAACCTCAGTGAGTTGAGCGGCGCAGTGGGCGCCCTCGAAGTTTTCGTTGAGAATCTCCCACCAATGGGCGGATTTGTCACCGAGGCCATGAAGGCTGCGGCGACTACTGATCACTGCGCCGCTGCTCCAGGACTGGAAGGGCCCTCAGCTTGGCCGGGTGAGATGCGTCTTGGCCCCGGAGAAAAGGACAACAGTGCCCGCTGGGGGGGGGCCTGCAGGCTCTCCAGGAAAAACAGGGGGGCCTTCAACAACGTGATGAGCAAACGCTGGAAGCCGAGCCACAAGGTCGAAGTGGCGACGGACCACCCTCGACGCCCTCCTTCACTGCGACTGCTTTGGTCGCGTTGGCTCTGGAAACCCATTCTGGAATCTAGATGTCCGTCTTGCTCGTGAACTTATTTCGGGACTTATCGACGGTCCTCGTGTCCGGGTGCCAGGGGCGCATCCAACTGGGCAGTGGAGGGCGATGGATTCGACGCCGACGTGCGCTCGGGGGATGCAGCGCGACGAGGAGCTCAGCGAGAAGGAGGCCCAGAGCGAGACTGCCTATCGCGGTGCCAACTTGGCAGCATTGGCATCTATCTGGAACAAGGTGGATCTGTTTGAGCTGCGGTCAGGACCTTCGAGCTGAGAGAACGTCTGCGGCATTTTCTGTGAGGGGGCGTCTCGCCGCACCTCTTGCACTCGCTCCGCCGTGAATGTGTCGTCGGACGTCAGCCCATAGATGAACCTGTACTCTTACATATTCGAGCTGCAGGTGGATCGCCGCCGTCGCGCAGGCTATCCTGAGCATCATGTCCACAAGCAGTGGTGCCGGACCGAAGGCAGCGTCTACGTCGAGGTGTTCGGGGTCCACGCTGCGACGATGATGGGGATCTGGGACAAGGTGCAGGCGAATGAGTAAGTCTTTGGATGGCACAAGGTCTGGAATCGTACGGTCAGGATGCACCTTGCGGCAAAGGCCGTCCCGACATCGTTTCCGAGTGTACGCGCGTGCTCAGATTAAGTGATCGAGGACTCTGACTTCCCGGTTTTCGAGGGCAAGCTGGTTCCCGAGGGCGAGAGGTGGGTTCCTCAGTGGACCAAAGAGCTCAGTGCGGCAGACCAGATCATGGAACGCACTGGCGGAACATATGACCACCGTGGAACTGAGCCACCGAGTTTCATGGGCCAGATGGGGCAGGCTACAGGCGCAGCGAAATCGGATGACCTCGGTGTCATCACGGACCTCGAGTCAGACAGTCCGTTCAAGGATCTCTCTTGGAGGTGCTCTCGAGTCCTACGTGTTCGTGCAGCTGTGCCAGCTGCGCGTCGCTGAAGCTTTGGTAGTACGTGGCATGGCTACGGTAGCTACTGGGAGAAGAGTTTCATCTTCTGAGGCGAGGGTCGTTTCGGCTGCTAGAAAGGTAGGAGCTGTGGTTGCAGAGCCCCTGTCAGCCACTCCTCCTCCTGCGCCTCTCTCTTGCCTCCCTTGTACGCCGCCATGTCGGCTCACCAGGGCCCTTGAGCTATCATGGCGCGCCTGTTACGGACGCGCCCGCGCCTCCGTAAAAAGAAAGAGGACGTTCTCTCTTCTAGCACGGGCTCCCCTATTTGTACCTCGTGTCTACCATGCAGCCATGCCCGTACAATCCACATCGTGTCAGAGGAGCACTGGGTCATCATGATGACGCGTTCTAAGATTTACAGGGTCTCCCAGATTACCGGATGTTCCACAAGGGCTGCAGAAATGGGGGCGACTAGTTATAGTGGACATATTTAAACGTATCCTGAGCCAACAGACACATGACATCATTCCCGTCCTATCATGACATCCTTCCCGTATCCGCCACCTCGCGGGCCGGTTCCTTGGGCCGCGACCCCGCGGATGCGGGGCGTTTTTCCGCGGATGCCCCGCTCGGAATGTATCCGTGCGACCGCGTATCCGCGGGGGTGCGCCCTAGACTCCAGACCAGGCCCTGGCAAGGTATGGCGGTGGTGGTGGTGCACAGCTGCTGGCGGGGGAGGAAGGCTTAGTGGCTCGTGGCCGCGCTTCTGTCACAAGCAGACTTGACGCGAGTGGGCCGGCCCCCTCTAAGCTGGACGGGGGGGAGGGACGTGGGAGGGTGGGGTGTTGGCTCCGACGGTAAGGGGCGGTGGGCACCCAGATCTCCGACGATGTGATCCTTCACCCAGAGGGTTCTTCTCGATTTCGGCCCTCGGGTGTCGCTTTCGGGCCCTAGGGCTATCAAACATGCACCCGGAACCATAAAACAAACAACCGTGTGGAAGTGATCGAGATCCCTAGCGCCACGGATAAGACAAACATCATATCGGCGGACGTCAGGGAGGGCCGAGGAAACGTAGGACCGTCGCTCTTGGATAGTCCGGGCTTGAGTTTTGACGGTCCAGTTTTCGTGAGGTATTTGCAGCGGGATCTCGCGGAACAGGTCACCTTATGTGTCCCACCATTTTCATTGATGGCCCCACCAGGCAAAGTCGAGTCCCGCTGCAATTTGTGGACAAATTTCTGCACCTTTGTATGCTGGTTTGTCGACCGCGCGCCCCCAGTTTGACATTGGCTGGCTGCGCTGCGATGCGACGATCTGTCGACTGGCCAGAATCCTGCGCCCCGCTGAAGATACCAACCAACATTGAATCGGGGGCAGTGGGGGCGCGTTGAAGTTTGAGCCCGTGCCCCGGTCGCGCGGGTGGTGCAGGATTTTGCCCATCAGCCATAATTCGAATCGCGCGTCTGCCCGAAGGGGGTCCCTTGCGCCGATCCGTCCTTCACCGTCCATTCCATTGTGTCGACGCTGGTCGCTTTGGAGGTGCAGACCATGAGCCAGCGGCCAAGGTTCGTGCCCATCTCGGCATGTCTGCCTGCTTTCGTGCTCTCGCTGATGCTTTTCTTCGGCGAAACGTCATATGGCTAGGTGCAGATGTTGATGTATTGTGTATCGAGCAGCTGTCGACGCATTCCTCGGCATTCGAGACAGATGCTCATACGAATGATGACAATTACCCGAGGTGCGGCAGAGATACGGCCCGTGCCGATCGTGCAGTGAAGGTCTTCATCGTCTGACTAGGTCGATGGCCATTTGTTAGGTAGCTCGGGCCAGTCCCCTTGGTCCTCTTTCCCCCTAGCTCTCCTCTTGTCGTCGTGCTTATCTCCGTGCTTGCTTTCTCTCTGCTCCCGTCTTTTCCTTTTCTCCCCGCCTGTGGAGACAGGCAGCGGTCGGTGTCGTTTCCACAGCGCCGCACTTCAGATGGCCGGTGCACGAGGTCCCCTTCCGCAGGAGATATTTGTAACCCGCCGCTCGGCCAGGAAACCAGGATGGCTCTGGCCAGGCATGGTGGTGGTGGTGTATAGACGCCTTCTTGTTATCCCCTCGCTGCCCAGGATGGACCTCCTGGCGCTGCCCCCCCCCCCACCTCGTCTCACCATCCGGGTGCAATGCCGCGCACGACGCCCTGGCCCACGAGGAGAACCCGCGTGTGTCCTGGGATCCAGTAGGAGTCGAACACGAACCCAGGCCTAGATGCACCACAGCCACAAGTACCCCGAACACGAAAACACAAAACCAGACCGCCCACAGTGAACACTTCACGAGTATTGCGTGTCACTCTTGCAGGGGCAACGAACTACTCGAATCAGACACGCACGCACAATGAAGGGAACCCAATCATCAGGCAGCCCTGGCCATAAGGGCGTGGGGGCGGTTTTTCCTCAGTCAAGGCGACAGCTCAGGCTCAAGTGGAGGTGTCGGTTCCTCCGAGCGAAACTGTCCAGAGGATCCAACACTTCCAGAGACTGATCTGTAGAACCGTCAGCCGCGCCCGTGGTCGAACTTCGGAGAATCGCCGCACGGCTCAAACAGCCACCAGCAAACGCACGACTGACCGAACACCCTCAATCACATCAACACATCAATTTGCACCGGAAACTTTTTAATGCTTCCACAATGAACAACCCATCACAGCCCCAAGCAAACGCCTACCTACTTCTAGAAGATCCCCTGAAGACCACGAACCCGTATTGCGCGTTGGACTCTGAGTTTTAACAGAGGGTAGCTATGGGTCAATCCTACAAGCACACGAACCGATGCCGGCAACAAACGGCCCACGTACCGACCTGCGCTGACCAAACGCGTAGCCAGTCTGCCCCCCGGGAGCCGTAGCTGACGATGACGCCCCAGCTGGAGCCCAAACCCCTCCGCAAGAACGAGCTGGAGCTCCAGCCGCCTCCGTGACGTGATGGCCCTGGGAGGGTTGTGCACTCCCGCCCCCAACACCAGCCAGGATGCCAAGAGGATGGCCGACCAGAGAACAACCGAGAGAATCCAGCCCCATCAGCCACGACCATACACTTACAAGTCTGCACAACTGAGAACTGAGGGCGCCCCGAATGGGGTAGGGGATAGTCGCGTCGACTGCCCTCATCCCCCTAGCCACTCTAAGCACACCTCTGGGAGGGCACGTAGGTGGTGAGGATGACGCGCTTCCCGCCCCGTTGGACGATGTCCACAATGTACCTGGACACCCGCCGATCAGATTTTTGCAATCCGCGGCCTCAGAAGCGTTCCCCGAGGGTAATTTTTCTTCCTGGATCCATTTTCGACGATGCTGGGGCTTGGACATGGCCCCAGAGAGTCGAAATCGGGGGAAAATCGCTGGCTGAAACAATACTGTTCTCCGAGCGCGTTCCACTACTCGCAACGTGCCGACTCGCAAACTCCGAAAAACATCTGCTCACCTTGAGGTAATATGAGCGTAAATCCCCCTCGGCGGATCCAGGCCATTCGCGAGTAGCTACTTTGCGAGTAGTGGAGCGCGCGTGTCTAAATATCGTCGGAGATCTGGGTGCCAGACCAGTTCGACGCACGCTTCCACGCTTGCTGGCACGCGCGGCAGCGCGTGCCAGGCGGATCTGGCACACGGCTGGCTTCGCTCAGTCCCCGAGAGTTTTCACTGTGTGCGCTGCAGGGGCGCTCTGGCTGCGAGGACGGGCCCGTGTGCACGCGTGTGGGTGCTCTTCCGGGGGCGCTTCCGCGCGCTCGTCGTTCGAGCGAAGTGGCTCGTGGGAACACATCGCATTTGACGATCTCGAGGGCTGCGGACAGGAGCTCGCCAACCCCCCGAGATCTGAGACCATGTGCTCTTCTCAATGCCGGTTGCTCTTCCCAGACTGTGGCCCTCGGGGGCCGGTTGCGGATCCAGGGCGAAGAACTGCCCCCAGGGAAGCGGTCGGGACCTCTGGTGCTGGCAGGGGCAGCGAGCAGAAGGGACGGGCTTTAGACACCAGCGCGCCGTTTACTTTCCTTTTCTTTGCCCTCCTCTGCCCCTCCCGTCCCGTCCCGTCCTCTTCCGGCTCTGCCGCTGTCGTGTCTCGCCGTCCGTCGGCCTCCTCTCCTCCTGTCCTCCCGGCCGCGGTGATGTTGGAATGCCTTTGGTGACGGTCGGAACCTCTGGCGCGCGGATTGAGACATCTTGCCGGCACGTGTTCGGGGCTTCATGCTCTCCGAGGGCCGCGGGCAGGCGTGTGCCAGCGCTCCTGTTTTTCAAGGAAGGAAAGCCACCTGGACCGAACAAATGGCGTTTACTAAACGGCCCTGGGCGTTTACTAAACAGCCCCGCCCTGTTTTTGATTCCTTCTTTGAGCGCGTTTACGAAACGACTTCGCGTGTTGGGGTGGGTATTTTTTGGGGTGGATTTTTAGACTTCTGCTTTTGCTCCTGCGCTCGTCGGCATCATCCTGTCTAGCTCAGCCGCGCCTCTGTCGCACACATCCGAGGCTCCGATGACATCGGAGCTGCCTGTCTTTGGCCGTTTTCGGCTTCTGGGGCCCCCCAACTGGCCCTAGGACCGTCAAAAAACGGCTCAGGACCTTCTGTGCCATTTTTTTTCGCGCTCAATATCTGCAGTTGCCGTGAAGAGTGTTTCACTCGGGTTAAGTAGGCGCTGTGATTCGTGAAGGGAACAAGCCTTCGGCTCCCTCCCCCTTGGGTTCAGCATTCATCTGCGCCTTGCCAGCAGCACAAGTCACGTCTGGCTGAGAGGCTCAGAGTCCCCCCCGCGTCGATTCAGTTCCGCTCAAAGCATGGCCCCTGGATCTGGACACGTTCTCATCGTAAGTGTTCTGGTCGGGTTGGCGAAGAGCCCAGGAGGGGAGGTCGCCGCCCTTCAAGAGGAAGTCGCCCAGCTTATGCAGGCTTCTTGGGGAACTTGTCATGGAGAGGAGGGTCAGGTCGAACGGAGAGGTCGGCGGGATGAGTGGAGCACCGTTGTAATGGTCTAACTTCTTGTGTATGCACACGTGCAGGGATAACCTCGATGGGGCTATGCCAGTTTGTGCGAGATGCCGTCTTCGGTCGCTCCCGTATTTTTCGAGAGGGCAGCTTCCTTGAAACTGTCTTCCACCACTCGCCTCTCTCACAGCTCATTTCCTGCGCAATTCTAAGTTCCGCCTATTCGGCTTCTGATCGTTCATCATGATCCTCTCCCTCCTTCTGTTTACCTCACGTCAGAAGCTGCTCTTTGTTGTTCTTCTCGGCCTGCTTCTGCCACACGCTGCTTGTGTTCAATCGCAGCCCTCCTCGCAATGCTTCTTTCTCATTGTCGCCCCGCCTCGCTGCAGGGGCTGGACAACATATCAGTTCTCTCCGTGTTCGGCGTCTCCCGCGCCGGTTTCGGCCTGACCCAGGGCACCAGAGCCAGAGGTGGCCCAAACACCACCCTGGCGTTCCCCGCCCTCGCCCTTGCGAACAGCGCCGACGTCGAGATCTTATGCCCGTGCTCGCGCGTGTCTGCTTCTCTTCTTCTCTCCTGCCTCACGCCCCTCCTCTGCTGGTTCGCCAAACAGGTCGCTCCCCTCGGTTCACTCTGTACTCCGTAGAGGTCTTTCAAGGTCTCCCGAGCCCGCATCCTCACATTCTCCCCCTCCCCCCCTCATTTTCTGCATTGCCATCCTCGCCCTCCTCCTCTCCTCCCCGTCCGCATCCTCCTCCTTGTCGGCTTTCTCCTCCTTCTCCTGCTCCTCAATCCCTCTTCCGAATAGGTAACTCCTCCCTGTCGCGCCACCAGGCGTGTTAACGGGGCGGGCTGGGCGTTTCGCCTGAGATCGCCTCGCCGCTTGCGATTGGGGTTCGGAAGATTTGCTGACAATGGCGGAGCAAGAGGTGCACAGCTGGCAGGGCGGTTTTCCTTTTCGAGGCGGGGCTGTCGATGGGTATCCGAATTTTGCAACCTTAGTTTGTTGTATTCGTATTTGATTGTTTGAAGTGTGAATAACTGTTTTTTCCTCAAACGGAGCCCCTGTCTGAAGTGCGGGTCCATGGGTCACTCGTCTTTCAAGGGGGGCGTCCTGCGCAGTGAACAAACATGCTCGTGGGGCTTCATTCGGAGTGGACTTGGCACGGGAGGCCAACCGAGAATCCTAGAATCCTCGAATCCTCCTTCCTTCCCCTCTCCCCATCTTCCCCCTTCTCCTTCTCCTCCTCCTCCTCCTCCTCCTCCTCCTCCTCCTCTCCTCCTTTCCCCCCTCCTCCTTCTCTTCCTCCTCCTCCTTCTCCTCCTCCTCCTCCTGCTCCTCCCCCTCCCCCTCCCCCCTCCTCCCCCCCTCCTCCCCCAATCCTCCGCCGTGGAATCGTAGACAAACTTTGTAGTGCGACTTTACAGGTTACAGGAATCGCTCTGGTACCCTGGTCGTTCCAAAGATCGGCTCCATCGTGCGTCTCACGCCTTCGCGAAAGAGCGCTCGCAGCAGCCTACTCGGTGCTCTTGGCTTTCTTATCTCAGCCATCGCCGCTTTCGGCTGAAGGAAGTCGAATGCCTGGAGCACGATCACGAATAGAACAGCAAGTTGAAAGCGGTTGGGCCACTCCCAGCGCTTGCGGATCAGCAGCTGCAGCGACACGATGAGGTGAGCGCAGCTCGTGCCCGTCTCAAACCCCATGCACGACACTCGCGAGAGCTCACGCGCCAGGGGCACCAAGTCTTCAGATGTAGAGCAAGATAAAGCTCGTCGTGTACCACTTGAGCCGATCTTGTACAACCGCAGCGAGAAACAGGGGAGCACTGACGCCACCCAGAAGTTAGATGCCACGATCTCCAGGTGCATGGTGCTCGCGATTCGCGCCTACAAGGCAAACGACCTTGACATCGTGATGGAGGGCGTGCGCTTCACGCATGCACTCTGGTGTGACAAGTTGTACCTCCTGGCGCAGGGCTGGGAGATGTCCCGCAAGCTGACCGACATCTTGAGCACGGGCCTTCGAACTGGTGGGCTTTTCTGGAGGCCCTCGAGCTTGGAGCACATGACGTCGAACCCAACGCGCAAGCTTTCTTCGAGATCTCGGCGGCGCAGCCCGACGTCGCGCAGGTCACCCTCAAGGTGCTGCGAGTCTCCGCCCGCCAGCACGCAGCTTGGCGGCATGCTCTCGCAGACTGGCGACAGCGCGCCGGACGTGGAGGCCCACACTGCTGCCGCACGGCGCGCACATGGTGGGCAGACCAGGCCCTCCAGAAGAGGGTGTTGAGCATGTTGGAACGTGTGTGGCGCTGCGAGCAACATGTGAAGCCCGTGCTTTGATATGGTTGCGAAGGCTGGGCCATGACGGCAATACTGCCGGCGTGTTCGAAACAAAAACGCCCAAGTACAACGCCTAGAAGATGCCGCAAGAGCGCCCCCCGCGCCCCCAATTTCAGTGCTCATCGAAGGGAGCAGGCAGCGGTTTGCAAACGTGGTCGTTTTTTTTCGACACGACTCGCGCTCCCCTGCGTCGACCGCCCCGAACTTTGCAATTGGGGCCAGGGGGTTGGACCCGCTTCAACACGCATTCGAGATGGACGTTTTTTTTGCGGGGGAGCGTAAGACCCGGGTTTGCCAGGACTCGGGTTCGCCATCGTTTTTTGACGACCGCGATTCGGATTTTGACGAGTAGGAGTTTCGTGGGATGTCTGCAGCGGGAGGCCTCGTCAAAATGCAGGCTCGGCCTCGTCATTTTTTTGACGACCTCGTCGGGGATTTCCGAGTCCCCTGTACCCAGGTCTTACGTCCCCCTGATTCAACACGCATTTGAGATGGACGTTTTTTTGTTCGACAACCACGGCGGCCCAGAAACAATCCACGGGGCAGCAGGCTCCGTGCTTCGCCGTGCAGCGATGAGGCACGGGCGGCGGGACGGCGAGAGACACGAAAGGTTCCTGCGGGGATGGACGACAAGGGCCAGAGCAATCTCAGTCAGAGGAGGAGGAGGCAAGCTCGTGCTTAAGAGGTTCCTGTCAAGGGCAGAAAAAACGCCCCTACCCTGGTTTACGAGGCGCTGTGCTCTGAAACTCTTGTGGGCTGACAGGGTAAACCCTGCGTGATGTGCCGCGTCCTGGCGGCTCTAGCCTCTGGGGGTTCCCAGGAGGTTGACAGACCACGCACTTGTAATCCAGGGTAGGGCCGTTTTTTCATCCCTCAATCCTGGATGTTAGGCACAAGATGGCGGCACTCGTCGTCACCGAGCGGACGTCCCAAGACGATTCAGAAGCGGGGGGTGACCTGCGCGATTTCATAGCTTGTGGGGCCAGGACGCTCCCCGAGGAGGACTGGCAGCGGACGCGGAACAGGATGAAGCAGAGGAGGAGGAGGAGGAGGAGGAGGAGGAGGAGGAGGAGGAGGAGGAGGAGGAGGAGGAGGAGGAGGAGAAGGAGGCAGCGGGCGAGTCGCAGTACCCTTGCCCGTGTGCGGGAGGAGGAGACCCCGTGGCAGCGTCGGCAGGGATGGGCGCGCCGAGCGCAGTGGGAAGACGTGTACACTCGACCAGACTAGGAAGGATGCGCGGTAAGGGTGCAAGGGCCTTGGGACGCCATGTTGATGTTTTCCGTGCGGAGCGCAGCATAATGCTGAATGATGCCGAATACCGAAGGGGCAAGGATGCAAGGTTAGCCTTGGAAAGTTGCCCCATCCTTACTATCATGGTTGACTGTACCTCTCTTGGTGCAGGACCCGGATGGCGGGAGGAAGCTGCTCAACCAACCTGGGCAGAACGGCGGAAGGGATTCGTGAAGGCCGGTCTTGAAGGCTGGGGACTTCCCTTGCAGCGCTGGCGAGAAGAGCGGGGCCTGTGGCAATCGAGACCTGCTCGGCAACCGTGTCCTCGGCAGGTTCCCCAGTATGCCCAGCCTGACTTCCAGGCCCCGCCAGCGACCGCCCCCGATATCGCACTGGAGGTCGTTGCAGCCCTGCTGAGGCGGATGCGGGTGCATATCGAGGGAGGCAGCAAAACCACGGTCGAGTGGCTCAACTGGCGCTGGTACATGAAGAATCCACGGCTGGCGCCAGCGCTAGCCCGAGCGCGCTGTAGTCTGCATGTGGCTTGGAGGACATGCAGGTTGAACGTCGCAACGGACGTGGCAGATAGGGCTCGGCACATCTACCGGGATTGCAACAAAAACTGCGACGCCACCGCAACAGCCACATTAGAGCGACAGTGCGAGATCACTGCCATCAACCTCGTCCCGTGGTAGCTCCTACGAGGGCATTTGGACGCAAATATCGGGGCCAGGTTCGACGGTGGGCGACGGGAAGGCAAAGCTGGGGCAGCATGGGTTCTGTGGGTGAAGATCGATACGGATCCGTACCCTTGGATGGTCTACGGCTTCGGTGGGGGCAGCGCCATGAGCTCTGGCGCGGAGCTCGCCGATTGTAGTTCGCCTCGCACCTCGCACTCAGATTATGCACATGGCGGAACAGCTTGCCGCCTGTGGAATGCCGCACGCAGCCCAGAAAACGTCAAAACGTCTTCCGCTTCCTCCTCCGCCTCCGCCTCTTCCGTCTCCTCCTCCTCCTTCTCCTCCTCCTTTTCCTTCTTCTCCTCCTCCTCCTCCTCCTCCCTTCCCTCCTCCTCCTCCTCCTCCTTCTCCTCCTCCTCCTCCTCCTCGTTCGCATCATCACCAGCAGGGTGCCCGGTGGGGCCAGGAGTCCAAGGAGAGAGCTGACGCGGCGATCGTCGGGCGCGAGCACGGTGCCATGCCGCGTGCGCCCAGCGAGCTGCGGGGGAGGAAGAAGCCGGGCGCTCGGGCTGCCCAGAGGGGAAAGGGAGGGGTGGCGCGGGAGGACGGCGGCGGGTTGGGCGGGGTGGGCGGGGTGGGCGGGGAGGAGGGGGGGGGAATAGTGAGGAGGAGGAGGGAGGAGGAGGAGGAGGAGGAGGAGGAGGAGGAGGAGGAGGAGAGGAGGAGGAGGAGGAGGAGGAGGAGGAGGAGGAGCGGAGAGGAAGGACAGGCGCGCATAGCCTGAGCGCGACGGATCTGGCCCAGGGCGCAGCGCTTTCGGACGGCCATGGAGACATGCCCGTCGAAGACAAGCACCGTAAACAGGGGGTGGGGAACGACGGGTGCCCAAGCCGCAGAGTGGCACAGCCCCCCCCGCCAGACTCATCGCCTCCAGAGAGTTCAGGGAGACTTTCACGGGCGGGCGGGGTCGACCGCAAAGAGGCGTGCGGAGGCGGAGTTCCCCGACTGGGTCCCCGACAGCGACGATGAGCACCACCATGCCCAGCATGGGCCCACGGCAGAAGCGAGCGCGCAAGTCGGGGACGAGCGTGAGCAGGCCCTGGCCAGGACCACGGCGGCCAGGCAGCACCGTCTGGCCATCCGCCCACTCGTCGTTCAGCTCCTCGTCTAACTCGTCCTCATCAGCGGTGGATCGAGCCGTGACATCAGCAAGTGGGCGGCCCGCCACAGCAGGCTTCGCGCGGCCTGGCCGCCGCGGCCCGCGGCCGCCCCCCGCGCCGTCCTCCATCTCGTGGTCACCGGCCTCCTCGCCGCCGTCGGCACGAGGCTCCACGCCCGCAGCACCACTGCGGCCCGCAGCCTCGCCGCCTCGGCCTCCAGCGCGGGCGAAGGCGGCACGGCGGCAGGGCTCCGCGGGCCCGCCACCGCCGCGCGCAGAAGCCTTTCAGCGGTGCGCAGGGAGCGCACCGAGCGCGCCGAAGGCGCGGCCCAGCGCCCCCGTGCGTGAGTAAGACGGTTACTGGGAGAGGAGAGAAAGTACGGGAAAGAAAAGGAGCAGGACGATGATGACGATGACGATGGTGATGTTGAGAGTGGTGATGATGGGAGGAGGAGGAGGAGGAGGAGGAGATCAGGAGGAGGAGATCAGGAGGAGGAGGATGATGAGGAGGAGGAGGAGGAGGAGGAGGAGGAGGAGGAGGAGGAGGAGGAGGAGGAGGTGAGAGGAGAAGAGTGAGAACGGGTGGGTAAGGGAAGCGAGGCAATGCCAGCCCTCCCCTTCCCCCTTTTTGCTTTCCTGCTGAGGCTGAGGCATCGACTCGAGGTATCGGTTTGCCCGGGGGGGGGGGGCAAGACTCCATGCCCGCGTGCCCCAGGCTGCACCTGCTGGGCGGTTGCCAGGCACGCCCCCCGCGAGGGTCTCTAGGCCTGCCTCCTCCTTTGCTCTCTTCCATCCTTTCCTCCCCATGCGTGGCATCTGCGGCTCAGCCGTCCGTGCGCTTCCTTCCCAGATCTTCCGCGAATTGATTTCTTCAGTCCGGGCGTTTTTCATCGGTTTCGCCCACTGGGGCCCGTGGCGGGCCCCCAGAGCATCCCCAGGGATCATACGAAAATGGACCTGGGGAGAGCAACTGAATCTTGGTAATGGGTCAGGGTCTCCCTGGGGCCGCGCCCTCAACCGTGGGAAGCGCCACCATGGGTCAGCCGCCTGTGGTCTGTAGTGGTGGCAGCGAAGCAGGCCCACCATTGAACAGATACCATATCGGCGGACGCCAGGGACATTTACGCCTCTTGGCGGTTCCGCTGGACCACTTCCTCAAGGCCGGTTCTGCCTCCCGAGTCGTTCTTTTACAGTCCCTGGGGCCCGGCGAGGACTTCTGGAGGCCGAAAACGGCGAACAACCGGCCGCCGCAATTTTTTCGGAGCCTCGATTTTCTGGGTCGGGGCCCGGCGGGCCCCTCGTCGCTCTGGAGGTGGTGGCAGACCCTGACCATTTCGGGTCACGATAAAGTAATTAGCGACGGGCGGTCGGTGGCAATTTTTGGCCTCGGGGGGGCCTCGCCAAGTCCCAGCAACCTTGAACACATATTCAGGACGAGAAGCCGATCCTGGGAAATGGGTCGGGACCTTCGATAGAGCGCGTTCTGTGGACGTTTGGAAGTGGGCGAGGGGGTTCGAACCCGAGGCGGCCCCCCTGAATTGCAACGTCCCCCCCCGCCTCCCCTCTTCACGGGGGGAGGCTCGAACTGGCCCCGCCCCCCCTCTGAATTGCGAGGGGGGGATGGTTCGAACCGGGGCCCCTCCTGCCCCCTCCCTCCCCAGTGGCAACCGACGACTGCGAGCGCCGGCGGCAGCGCCGGTGCGGTCGGGCAGCGACGACGACGACGTCGACGACGATCGAGCCTTAGTAGGATGCGAGGAAGGCAGGATCGGGCGTTAGTGATTCAAGTCAAGCTGGACCGAGCCCTAGTTGGAGTCAGTTAGATGTTGATCCAGCTGTAGCAGGATTTCATTCGAGCTGGATCGGACCTTAGTAGGATGCAGTTAGAGCTGGATCCAGCGATAGTGCGCTTCTAGTAGAATAGGATCGAGTCCGACCAGGATGCTATCAAAGTTTGACTCAGCTGTAGTAGGATTCATTTTGAGCTGGATTAAGTAGGATTCAAGTAGAGCTGGATCTGGATGTAATGACTTTGTTCAGCGTTGGATGGAGCCCGTCTACGAAGTTATTAAACTTGGATCAAGCTATATCAGGTTTTCATTAGAGGTGGATCGAGCCTTAGTAGGATTCTGTTAGGGGGGCAGAGGGGGGGTTCGGCCCCTCCCAAAGTGCACCAGGGGTAGGGGTGCAGGGGCTGGTTCGAACCCTTCCCTCCCCCCTTGGAGGCTTCCCCCCAGCCCCCCTTCGCGGTTAGAGAGGCCGATGTCCGGGTCCTCCTCTCCCCAGCTCTGTGGGAGCGCTAGATGTTTTTGTTGCACCCCCTCTTGGTTTCGACATGTTCAGTTTTTTGTTTCAAGGCAGGTGTCCACGAAACGCGTTCTCTGAGACCTCTTGGGCCCCACGTCGTGAGCAGAGCATGACGTCGGGGGTGTGGGGACGGTGCGTCGCCTTCGAGGGGGCGCAGGAGTTGACATCTCTCTTCCTCGGCGGAAGGCGGCGGACGGACGGCGGAAGTCAGACGGGGGCGGCTCCGCCGCCGGCAGAGGGCGCTGCATGCTTGTTCCACGCCAGGCTTTTTCGCCCGGTTTCCCGTGCCCCAGGATCATCACATGTTGATCAGGCCCGGATCGATCTGGCTCAGAGTCGGATCTCTAGTTTGGCCGTGCCGCCCGCTCTGTGAGTCGAGTCGCCCGGAGTTTTTCCTCGCTGTGGCACGCGGCCGCGCCAAAAGGCTTGCAGTCTGTGCCCCCCGAGCCACGGACTGCTGCGATGCACTTCTAAGGTCGAGGAGCAAAAGTAGAGCTGCGTCAAGCAGTTCTCGTTCTGCGTCAGCCGCACCAGCAGTATCGTCCAGAACTTCTTCTCACAAGGAACCGGCCGCGGGCTCTTGACCTGGATGGCGATGAGGAGTATCGCAAGCGACAGGCATCATAAGAAGCAGGGGTCAGCAGGAGTTGGCTAGTCCCTTCACGAATCCTATCCCGACCAGCGTGTTGCCAGAAGGCTGGTTGGTGGTGTTTTGGTTATCCGTCATGAAGGAAAGTCTCTATTGTGCAACACATGGTGAAGCGGCAGCTGGTGCGTCACGCCATGGTTCTCACCATACCATCCTCTAGCAAAGTTCGACCCATGTCCACCACGAACGAAGGCCACAAACAACATCGTATATCACACAGGTGCGCTGTACAAGCGAGCGGAAATGCCGATGCCGTGTCCAGCTGGTGGGGCGAGGGCTGCTCTTCCATTTGGCCGAGGGCGATCGGTCGCCGAAGCTGTCGAAGCTAGAGGATGTGCGGGCGTGGCGCCGCTGAGTCGGTTCTCGTCGATCCAGTTGCCCACTGCGACGGCTTGGGTGAGCGCCTCCAGAGCTCGGGGGGGGAAGCGGGCCCAGGCTGATCTGCAGTCATGTGGCGAAGCTGAGCGCAGTCCCCCGGGGTCTTGCCTCTAGCGGGCCACTTTGCTGACAGGACCTGCCGGCCCGCCCGAAAAACTGGCCTCGGGGTGCGACAGGGAGACATGATTTATGAGGAAAAGGAATGGAGGAGGAGGAGGAGGAGGAGGAGGAGGAGGAGGAGGGAGGAGGAGGAGGAGGAGGAGGAGGAGGAGAGGAGGAGGAGGAGGAGGAGGAGGAGGAGAGGAGGAGGAAGAGGAGGAGGAGGAGGAGGAGGAGGAGGAGGAGGAGGAGGAGGAGGAGGAGGAGAGGCGGTAGCGGGATGGGAAGCAGGGCCGCCAGCAGGCATTCCGGCGCTCGGGCCCCCGGCGCGCCCCGGGCACCTCGAGGGCGCAGGGGGTCGCAGTCGTGCCGCGCCCCGCACAGGTTGGGCGCGGCAGGGCCGGCGGGCGCGGGCGGTCCGGCGAGGGAGGGGGGGGGGGGAGAACAGGAGAGGCAGCCGCCTTTGCCTCTCGGGTCGGGCGAAAGGGGGGATTGGGAAAGGGGGGGTTACGAAATTTGCTGCATGCAGCTGGTTTCGGCCTCACCGAGGGGCCCATTCCTCGATACATGGCCGCCTCCGGCGCCGGGAGGCGCCGGGCGCAGGGTCGCAGTCGTGCCGCGCCCCGCACAGATTGGGCACGGCAGGGCTGGCGGGCGCTGGCGGTCCGTCGAGGGAGCGCGGGGGGGGGGGGGAGAACAGTCTGGACGCCCGAAATGGGTACGGAAAGAATGGGTACGATGCCCAACAGCAGTTCCTGTTCCTTTTGAACAGGGCTCGCTGTCCACGCCGCGGCGGCCTGTGTCCATTCGAGACGGGAGGCCGCCTGCCCAACAGCGGCCGCTGTTGTTTTGGGACAACATTTGTTGTTTGGCATCGTACCCATTTTTTCGGTACCCATGTCGGACGTCCGAAAACAGGAGAGGCAGCCGCCTTTGCCTCGTTGTTCTCCAGGGGAGGGGTGGCCTCCAGAGGTCTCTGAGGGGCCCGGGGAGGTCCCTCGGAGGCCTCTGGAGGTCCCCTGGCTCTCCAGAGGCCTCCGAAGAGGTCCAGAGAGAGCCGCCCAGAACACTCAGGGGCCCTCGACGACCAATCCCCGATCGGGGGTCCGAGCGGGCGGGGCGTGGCCTGTCACGGGCGGCGGGGTGAGACGGACAAGGGCGGGGCCGTGCAGGAAGGGAGCAAGTCAGGAGTCATGGGACGAAGAAGCCATCCCAACTCCCAGGATCGCCGCATGTGCGTTCGCCCAGGGCTGTTTCTGCTGCCCTCCATGGTAGTTGGCCAGGCCAGGTCAAGAATTGACCTCGGTTGGGCTTCCCGAGTGAAGGGAGTATGCTGGCAGCTCAGCGACTATACCAGGGCCCATTCCTAGATCACCTGCGGAGTCGCGAGGATAGTCGCGCTTCAAAGGGGGGCGTGCTTGCAGAACCCCCCCCACCCCTCCCCGCCCTTCAAGGGGGGGGGCGTCTTCGGACCCCCCCCCTTTCGGAGGGGAGGGTGAGGGTTTCGGACCCCCCCCCTCCACTCCTTTGGCTCTGGAGAGGGGCGGGGGGAGGGGCGATTTCGGACGCCCCCCCCCCTCCTCCCCTCTGCGCAGGACAGCGGGGGCAGGAGGGGAGGCCCTCCGCTCCGGAGCGCCGCGCCGGTGCGGCAGGGTTAGGTTTTTCGGCCAGGTGCCAGGGCCAGGGCGGTCGGGTCAGGGCGCAGGGTGGGAGGGTTAGCGTGCTAGGGTTAGGGGGTTAGGCTTAGGGTTGGGGTATTAGGGTCGGGGGAGCGTAAGACCCGGGTTTGCCAGGACTCGGGTTGGCCATCGTTTTTTGACGACCGCGCCTCGGATTTTGACGAGGAGGAGTTTCGTGGGATGTCTGCAGCGGGAGGCCTCGTCAAAATGCAGGCTCGGCCTCGTCATTTTTTTGACGACCTCGTCGGGGATTTCCGAGTCCCCTGTACCCAGGTCTCACGTCTCCCCGATAGGGTTAATGTCTTAGGGTGCGGGTGTGAGGGTTCGGGTGTTACGCTTAGGGTGTTAGGGGGGGAGGGAAGTAGGGTCAGGGTTAGGGGCAGTGCAGGGTTAGGGTTAGGGTTAGTATTTAGGGTTTGGGTTTGGGTTTGGGTTTGGGTTTAGGGTTAGTGTTAGGGTTAAGGGTTCGGGTTAGGGGTTAGGGTGAGGAGTCTGGGTTAAGGTTAGGGTTAAAGGGTTAGGGGTTCGGAATTTGGGTAGGGCAAGATTAGGGTTCGGGTTAGGGGTTAGGATCAGGGGTTAGGGGTTAGGGGTTAGTGTCAGGGCAGCGGTCAGGTTTAGGGTTAGGATTTAGGATTAGGGTTAGGGTTAGAGTCAGGGTTTCGGATTTAGGCGTCAGGGTTAGGGGTCAGGGTTAGGGGTTAGGGCAGAGGTCAGGGTTCAGGTTAGGGGTTAGGGTTAGGGGTCAGGGGCTTATGGGGTTCGGGTTAGGGGTCAGGGTCGGGGTGAGGGTTAGGGTTAGGGGTTCGGATTAGGGGTATGGGGTTGCGGGTTGGGGTGTGGGGGTAGGGTAGGGGTTAAGGTTCGGGTTTAGGGTTCAGGGTTAGGGGTTAGGGTTACAGGTTCGGGTACGGGCTAGGGTGTAGGGTTAGGGGTTAGGAATTCGGGTTTAGGCATCTGGGTTTAGGGGTTAGGGTTAGGGATTAGGGCAGGGGTTAGGGTTATGGTTCGGGGTTAGTGTTATGGTTTAGGTTAGGGTTTCGGGTTAGGGATCAGGATTAGGGTTTAGGGTTTGGGCTTTAGGGTTAGAGGCTAGGGTTCAGGTAGGGTTAGGATTAGGGTTTAGGATTAGGGTTCAGGTTAGGGGTTAGGGTTAGAGGTTAGGGTTAAGGGTTAGACTCGGGGTGTTAGGGTTTAGGGGATAGGATATAGGGTTAGGGTTTAGAGAATAGTGGTCAGGGTTAGGGTAAGGGTTATGGTTGCGGTTCGGGTTAGGGGTTAGGGTTGGGTTGAGGAGTTAGGGTTTAGGGGTTAGGGGTTAGGGGTTAGTTTTTTGGGGTTAGGGATGAGGTAGGGGTTAGGGTTAGGGTTAAGGTGGTAGGGTCTGGGTGTCAGGGCTGGGGTGCCAGGGTTAGGGTTCTGGGGTTAAGGTAGTAGGGTGGGTGGAAGGGATCGGGTTCCGGAGCCAGGGATGCGGCGTGGCCAAAGGGGGGGAGGGGGAATGGTCAGATTTTCGAGTCCAAAAGGGGGGGACGGGGGGGGTCCACACCGCGCCCCCCCTCTTTGAAGGGGGGGGGGCGTCGGGGACGACGGATCGGGAGGGGGGAGTGGTGGGGGGGCCCGCCGACGACGGACCGGGGAAAGAGGAGAGGGGGGGGGGGCGGGGTCTGGACCCCCCACCCCTGGGGCATCCAGCGACGCGGCCGCAGATTTATCGCCAGAGCGGTTGCACTTCTCCCAGGCCGTAGCGGCTGCCATGCTCCAGCTGGGGCGGCGCGGGTGCGCGATGGCGCGCAGATAATCACACACTGCGGGGCGCGATGCGCAAAGTTAGGCGGCCCAGGATTGGATATCGATTCCAGCCAGCCCGATCCGATTCGATTTCGGTACGAGGGTGGCTCTTCTAAACCTCTAAGACCGAGGGAAGAAGCACGATTAGCATGACCAAAATGTTGCGGGATCTGGAAGACGACGAGTTTGGTCGTGGTCTATGCCGGCCGTCGCCGATTCGAAGATCAAATCGACACCGATGTTTCCACGTTCAGTCCTGGTAATCGTTGTTCTTTTCCCCCATATGCCCTGACATATTCCGATTTGTGTTTCTCAATCCGCAGCCCCAGAGGCCCCGACCCCTTCCCCACGCGCATTTTTCCGTCCTGGCTCCATTTCTTAAGGTCCCCGGGTCACATGCTGGGCCCCATGCCGAGATCGAGGAAAACCCACCGGTATAGGACAAATCAGATGGTCGGAGATCTGGGTATGCAGTTTTGGTCATAGCCCTCGTTTTCTACCCATTCACGAGAGAGGCACCCCACGCGAGCAAGCACCCGTGGCCAATAACGAGAAGTCGACACGACACACGCGCCTACGCCGACATCAAGGACTTCCTCTTCTCCCTCCTCCTCAGGCCACGGCCTCACCTCCCTAGTCTGAGTGAGGCCCAGACGCTTGTCCGCAGCGGCGGTCGCTCGTTCGTTCCCAGGCATCCGGTGCTCCGATCTTTTCCATGCGTGGACCCCTGGAGGTCTGGACGACTTCCCCAGGACAGGTGTTTCATCGTGGGTCGTGTTCCGACGGTCCCCGGGCCCTCTGAGGGCCCGCGAAGGCCGACACACGGCTCAGAGCCGGCCGCTCCGACTTTTTGTCGGAGCCTCGGATATCTCTGGGGAGAGGCTCGCGGCGGTCGTCCTGGAGGGAGCTATGAGGAGATCCTGGAGGCCTCGCGCGGCGAGCAACAGTTGCATCGTCGAGTCCACACGCCCCCTCCGTGGGGGATGGGCCGACGGTCGCACGGCGATGCTCCGACGTAAGCCCGACGTGAATTCGATGTCAGTTGGGTCTCAAGTTGCCGCGCGAGGTCTCCAGAATTTTCCTCATATCGGCGACGAGCGAGGGGGGAAATGAGAAGGGGCGGGCCTTCTCAGAAGGCTCGGAAGTCCCCCGGCCTTCCGAGAAGTTTTCTGAGCCTTCCCCGAAGACGCAGAACACTTCTCTCAGAGGCTTCCGAGAAGCCCCGCCGCCTTCCGAGAAGGCCTCCTCCTTCTCCTCTCCCCTTCGCGCTCGCCGCCAGTCATCAGGGGAGCGCCGACGAAAAAAAAACAAACAAAAAAAGAAAACACGGTGAGCGCCGACGCTCCGAGGCGCCGCCTCCGCGCGCGCGCCCGCCGCCCGCCCGCCCGCCCCCCCGCGCGCCTCCCCGCCGCGGAGGCGCCGCGGCCGGAGGTGCCGGGCTCGGCCCGCCGCGGCTCGCCCGCGCGCGCGCGCGCCGGAGGCTTCTCGCGTCTCCGCGGAGGGGGGGGAGGGGCCCCGACTGCCTGCCGGGTCCTCACGGAGGCCGCCCGGGTCCTACGCTGTCGGGGGCGGACAGACCTCCTACCCTGGCGCGCCGGAGGCCGGGCCGCGATTGCCTGCCGGTGCGGGCAATCGGAGGTGAGGGGGTGAGATCGAAGTGGAACGGAGAGCCCCCCTACCGGGAAATCGATTTCGGTTTCGTGTTCGTGCGTGCCGTGCGGGCGAGGCGAAGCTGCGTGGGCGGGCGAGAGAAAGTCTCCTGTGGCTGAGGAGCGGCCGGACCAAATGTCTCCCTTCCGGGATTCTTGGGCTCGCTTCCCCAGAAGCCGCAGACGCACTGGATAGGGAGAAAGATCTGGCCCCAGGAGGCTTGATGTTGTCCATACCCAGTGCGCCTCGGCGCTGCGGCACCTCTTGCCAAAAAGTCCACGACGCTCTGGATGTGGATATAAGTACTGCCCGCAGCCGGGTCCTCCCGGAGGCCGCCCGGGTCCTGCGCTGTCGGGGGCGGGCAGACCTCCTACCCTGGCGCGTCGATGAGCGAGTCGGCCGTTTGCGGGTGCGCGAGGGGGCGTCGCGGCCGTCCTTTTTGCGGGTCCAGGTCCGTCGGTTTCGGTCTTGGGCCGTTTTCACCTGAGGGAGGTTTGCTGAGGGGAGGTTTGTCCACCGCCGACGCTGCCCTGGAGGCGTGGTGCACTGACGAACGAACAGGACGCACCCATACCCATGGGGAGGACGGAGGGGGCCATGGGTGCGTATCGTCGGATGGGTGTCCCCGCTCGAGCGGGAGCCTCCCCCGCGGTCCGACAACCCGCACCCATACCCATAGCAAGTCCTCCTCCCGCCGACCCCCCTATGGGTACTCCAGATTTCGTAATAAAGGGAGGGGGGTCTCATTTCGGGGGGGGTCCCTTCCAGGCTATCTTGGAGGGCCTGGGGGGGTCTGGGGACGATGTTTTGGAGGGTTCTCCCACGGGGGAGGTCTGAAATGGCTTGTCTTGGAGGGTCGAGACCCCCTCCCTTTTATTACGAGATCTGGAGTACCCATAGCAAGTCCTCCTCCCGCCGACCCCCCTATGGGTATGGGTGTGTGTTGTCCGTTCGTCATGGTGTTCTGCACTGTGGGGTCCAAGGGTCCTACGCTGCCCTGCGCTGCCCTCGTCCCGGCCCTCCTCCCGGCCCCTCGACTGCTGGGCTCACGCGGGCCTGGCGCAGGCGCGGCCGCAGACAGCCGATGCGATCTCGCCCTCGTGGCCCTCCTCTTCCCCTCCCTCCTCTTCGTCCGCCCCCCCCCCTCCCCTCCTGATCACTCCCTCCTGATCAGTCCCTCCTGATCACTCCCTCCCTCCTCTTCGCCGCACCCCCCTCCCGATCCGTCCCT